CACCCACAGAGCAGGGCCGATCAGGGGGTTGGTGCGCTGCACCCTGTCACACTCAGGGCAAGATACAATCCTGTTCCTAAACTAGATTTAAAAAAATTGACTTTTTTAGCAGTATTATGTCTATATATAAAGGCATTCGGTCCTATTACGTTTTTCTAATAGTACAGTCTATACACTTGAAAAAAAGGTAGAATACAAACAAAAAAACCTCTATATTTAAATTGGGGGTTGGTGCGCTGCACCCTGTCACACTCAGGGCAAGATACAATCCTGTTCCTAAACTAGATTTAAAAAAATTGACTTTTTTAGCAGTATTATGTCTATATATAAAGGCATTCGGTCCTATTACGTTTTTCTAATAGTACAGTCTATACACTTGAAAAAAAGGTAGAATACAAACAAAAAAACCTCTATATTTAAATTTGGAAACCTGTAATCATGTTTCTAACTAATATAGCTTGTTTGTGTACAATGAAGTATGTGCTTTTGGATTGTCACTTAATTCCTTCATTTATTTTACAGGTAGGGTAGATTCCTTCATTGTTTAGATACTATCTTTTCTTAAAACCTTTGTGACAAGTGACATCTAGGATACCCTAAACATTTCAACTTACCAGGCTAGGAGATGGATGCTGTGCTACTTTTATTAAGACAGCTCCTGAAATGATAAACTGGATATAAAAACATATATTTATAAATATTCATTGATAATGCTCAGCAACTTAAAATGTATTTTTAACAAGTTCTCTTCTAAGTCAATTATGTTTATAATTCTAAGAGTAACAAAATATAAAAGTTTTAGTTGAAGGAGTGAGGACATATATGAATTGAAAGGCAATAGTAATAGTATGGTCACTAATAACAGAAATATACAGGGGACAGTGGGTTGTGTCAAAAATGACTTAAGTGGTCCTGAATCAGGGACCAAACTTGTTTTTATCTCTGTATGCTTTCTAAACTCATTCAATTATTACTTTCAAGGCTATTCTTCCTCATGAAATGATGCCACTAATTAAAATTACTGTATACACATCCAGATATGAAAAAGTGGCCCATGAATCCATTCCAAAGTGTGTTTCTTCAAAATATATATCTTAACTAAAACTATGGCAGTATTAAGGTAACAGCTGCTATTCATATTTTTGTCTTTTTCAAAAAGAGGTTCCTTTATTTCATTCCAGGCTATTTGTCTATTTCCCAGAAGTATGAAGTGATGCCATATTTTTTTCAAGGTGGGCTGAACAATTCCCTTGAAATAGTCCTTTCATCTTATCTGAAGGTAAGAGCTAATTCAGAATATAAAGTGAAAATACGCTGTGAATTTTAAACTGGAATGCTCTCTAATTTAAACTACCAAACCATATGCTTTACAAATTGCCTTTAGAAGTTTATGACCTAAATAAGAAATTTTGCATTTGTTTAAATGGAATATAAATTTTAGATAATTTATTCTAGGAGCTAAATATGCTACTTTTATATGAATGATTGAACACTGAGGGACATGTATCATTTATCTGGATTTTGTTTGGAAATTCACTGTTTTTCTCCTATTGTTTTCCAATGCAGTGCTTTGAAACTTGTGAGCCAGTGTATAATGGCAGAGTATATCCTAAACCAGCGGTTCTCAACTTGTGGGTCGCGACCCCTTTGGCGGTCGAATGACCCTTTCACAGGGGTCGCCTAAGACCGACCATCCAGCATATCAGATATTTACATTGCGATTCATAATAGTAGCAACATTACAGTTATGAAGTAGCAACGAAAATAATTTTATGGTTGGGCCACAACATGAGGAATTGTATTTAAAGGGCCAGAAGGTTGAGAATCACTGTCCTAGACCTAGAGGCTGCTGTTTCGATTATAGCCTTCTCAAGTAGTGGCCATCTTATCTCTGATAGCCCTTATACCATTGGTTGTAACCATGAGGTAAATGGTCTCCTTGCTCCTTATTGCTACTTCCAACCATTCTCTCTCCTTCAATTTTGAATCAAATATCATCAGATTCTATGACCAACTATCCCTCCTGGTTAAAGTCATGTGTTGATCCCTTGGTTACTCTTCTCTTTCTAGGTAATTTTAATTCTTGTATTTAAGTTTCTTTCTAAAATATCTTAATCCTTTGTATTTTCAATATGCACATATATAATCCTTTCTAATACCTGGGCTAAAATTTATGTCTTTCAATCCTTTAACTCCATCCTAACTCAGTCACACTCCTATATCCATTCTTTTGCCCTTGTTTCTACCAATAAGTGTAACATCTTTCAAATCTCAATTTCATGTATCCTACTCTCACCATCAATTTCTATCTTTCTAGCTCATGCCCTGTAGAATTACAATTCTAACAATCCTTTGACTCCATCTAGATCTATAATCTGAGCCCCTCAACTCCCTGTTACATTTTCCCCTTCACTATCTTGAATTCCATGGTAAACCTCTACAAACACTCATTTATATGCACTCTCAGCTCTTTGCACCTTTCTTGCTCAATCATAGTTGCATGCTTACATCACAATCCTGATTAAATTCAGTCCTTCTTAGTGCATGCCTGCACCTGTGCAGCCAATCATGGCCTAAGAAAGACAGACAACCATCTTGACCCATTTCACTATAAGCTTAAGTGAGCCCTTACTACTGCATGAAAGTCAAACTACTTTTCCATAATACACATGCACTCTCTCACTTTTCCTAGATGACTATTTCATGCCCTCTCTCCTCAAACAACCAATCCACTCTCTCATTCGCACTCTCAGCTCATGATCTTGTTTTCTAAATCATTGAGATATTTGAAGCCATTGGGAGAAAAGTTCTATAACCTTCCAACCCATCTACCTACTTATCAAAATGCTTCTCCTATCTCTGTTCCTCTACCTTTTTCTCCGGTTACCTACATTGACACTATTTACATTAAACATGGGTAATCCTTTGCTGTAGGTGCTGTCGTATGCATTGTAGGATGTTCATCAGCATCTGTGGTCTCTGCCTACTAGATGCATACCCCCAGCTGTGAAAACCAAAATTGTCTCCAGACATTACCAAATGTCTTCTGAGGGGCAAAATCACCTCTAGTTGAGAACCACTGCTAAAGATTAACTGTCCGTGCTCTTAGCCATTTGTGCATTCAAATTCATTATCTCTTGCCTACACAAGTACATGATTTTAATGATTGCCCTTCCCACCATTTGTCTCCTAGAAATTTTCTCTTCTGGTTCAATTCCTTCAATAAAAGACATGACACTTCCAACTTGCTGAAACTAGCAAACCCTCTCTTCACCCACATTTTTTCCAGCTACTACCGCATTTCCCTATACCACATTATACCAAAGTCCCTAAAGGACTTACCTGTGTTTTCTGTCAATAACTCCTCATCTCCCCTTATTTTTTAAACAAACTCTAGGCAGGTTTTTACCTCACTATTCTATTGAAACTACTTATCAGGTTTACTACTGGCCTCCATATTGTTAATTCCAAAGGTCAGCCAGCCCTTATCTTACTTTATCTTTTCCTATTTCTTTGATTACTTGGTTTCCAGGATGCCATACTCCAGAAGGCTATGTAGAAACCACAGGAGAGTACAGTTAATGACAAATTTAGAAAATGTGTGAGTATAGGTTCATTGTGTGGGGAAGCTAAGGTAATGACCCTAAATATAAAAATTAACCATCATAATGAATATTATGGTTAACATTCTTTCTCTTTCACATATCTAAGGACAATCAAACCTATGGTTGTCATTGTGTATTTACTCCTGTATCCATATCTCTCATAACAGCACTGGTAAATTAATAGTTTTCAAAAAAATATTTGTTGAAAAAAGAATTTTATTTTTAATGAATTACCAAACCTAGATTTTGTTACATAATTCTTCTGAAAACTTCATTTAGAAACTGCTCCCTATCTACTATTAGTGGCATGCACATTATTTTCTGAATGATTAAATTATATAAATGCATTCTACTCACAAAAATTCCCCATAAAGTACATCCTATTCTGTATGTTACAGGTTCATATGTCCCAAAGACTCCTCGAATCTGTCCCATATATAAAATTAATAGGAAATACCACATGAAAACATGAAAGATGCCAAGCAAAATCTGGATAGTCTGTGAAAAGAAAATACTATTAGTTCTGAAATCATGTAACTTATAACACAATTCCAATAACTGTTAATTATAAGAAACATACAACACTTTTACAAAAGATAAAAGTAAAATAGCAATTCTACACTTAACTATGTATTTAATGGATTGATTCACACAAAAAGAAGGCTCTAACTAGGAAATAATGAGGTTAACCAAATAGGAATCAGCCATACTTAGGAACAGATTGTTGTATAATAACTCTAGCCAATTCTCCCATAAGAAAGTTGACAATATGACTCTATTACTGGCTATTTACCCTATCTACCAAGTAATGGCGTGAGAGGAGAATACTGAGAGTACTTGAGAGAAAATGTGGTTCCTAACTTAGTTGGATGAAGATAGCCACATATTCAATATTTTCTTGTTCATTAATAATTTATTAAGTATGAATCACTTTGAATCTTATAAAAGTTTGATATGTCTTTTCCTTCAAGACATACTTGAGATGGATCTTTTTCACTAGTATGCCAGGGTGAGGTACACAGAGATACAAAGAATATCCAAAGTAGATTTCTCGTACAATGTCTTCCTATTGAATAGGGATGGGTTAGGTTAGGGGAGAACTGCTCCTCAACTTTAATTTGTAAGAATATAATTATAATCTTAGTAAATAAGTCCCAGTAAATTTATTTCTGAATTTATATGTAAACTAATATTTCATATTCTGAATCACATTTTTAATTATTCTTTAAATATTTCAGAGGTTATATTATTTTCATTTTATGTAAACTTTAATAGAAAGCTATTTAATGTTTAATTTTAATAGTTCCAGCTCTTTGTAAAGCAGGTACTCTATGAAACACATAAATCCAATTGGCTGGTATAAAAAATACATTTTAGAGAAGTAGGGGGGTTTTTTTGTATAGAAAGGCCACTTTGGGGAGTAACAATCTCATTGCATTTTGTAGATTTAGAATTTAAGATTTCCTCTGCATCAAATGTGGAAGAATGGCATTTTTTTAGAAGTCCTTTGGATTTTATTGGGAGACAATCCTCTACTAGATCACAAAATTCTCAAGGGCCTGGACTTCAGCTGTCTCACTGCTGTTATCAGCCTCTAATATGGTGCCTAGTGCAGAGCAGGCACCCAGAAATCACCTCTTGTATAAGCACATCAGTATCAAGAACATAAATTTCATGTGACTTTCCAACTGTTAAAAGGAGTAACTAGGTTTTGAAAATGCAGAGATGGCATCAGGGATTGCATTGACTTGATTATGAACTGCAAATGAGTTGTTAAAAGCTTTACTGAAAATGTTCTAACACTGTTCCCTAGTTGTTCTTTCTACTTTATATGACTGGCAATTGTTCTATATAAAACTATGAAATGATATTATTATAAACTAGAGGCCTGGTGCAAAAAAATTTGTGCACTCAGGGGGGGGGGTCCCCCAGCCCGGCCTGTGCCCTCTCGCAGTCTGGGACCCCTCGGGAGATAACGCCCTGCTGGCTTAGGCCTG